TTTCTATGGCTCGGCATTTATATTGGGCAATTTTTTATCATTCATCACAAAATTATACCTGCACCCTAGGTGGTTCCCTGCAGGGGGTCATAACCAGGGGGAAGCTGATGAAAATGAATTCTGGTATTGGTGGCTGATCACTATCATTTAATATTTTTGTGAATAGAGTTTTCTTAAAAAAAGTATATGAATTTATTAAAAATATTTATATGGTCTGCCAATCTGGAATTCATACTTTGAACATTTGGATCAAAAGGTTTATGACGTTTTCTTGGACAGAATCCAATTAATACAACCTCTTACAGAGGGCAGGGCTTCTTTGAATTACTGCATGTGTGGACAAGACTAACAAAGGGATTGCCAATTTGGCATATTGTACTACTCAATAAATTAAAATCATTAAATACTTTATGCTACAATTAGCTGTAATATTATACTGTATATTATTGTGTTTCATATGACGTCATAAATTTGATGGAGGGGGGGGGGTCAACTCTAAATCGAGACACAGTCATCAGAGTGAATTAATTTTTCACTGTATGTGTTGGCCTTGTGTTTGGTGGCAAATACATGCAATTTGATATCATTTGCTCACTACAGTACAGCATATTAGCATCAATACATTTTAGGTTAGAATTCATTATATGTATTAGGTGTATGCAGACTGGAATACAAGTTAATATCACTGCCTGTGAAATTGTGGTTTACTTAGAGAATAAAGGTTTTTTGAACCCTTCTATAAATAAATTATGACAGCAAAAGATTCATATGCACCCATATAGGGAAGGGTTACATGCTACAATTTAAAATGAGTATTACATACTCCTGCACTTGAAAAGTTTACAGTATATATACATTAAATAATAAAATATATAACAGTAAATCCCAAGATTGGATTTATTGAAACTAGTCATTAGCTAGTTCTTCATTATTAAAGTAATCATTAGCTAGTTCTTCGCAATTAAATAACACAAAGACAAATTAATAAAAGTTATTAACCATTTCTGACACAAATAGTATTTGCAAAATATAGCATATATTTGATATTATAGTCAAATAGTACAGTGTACTGACAGTACTGTATACTATGTATAGATTAAAACTACAGAAAACCTGTACAACACAAATATGAGTAAAGTTTTCACGCTCCATTTAACTGTTGTGATATTATACGCATTAAGTATACGTTTCTTTGCATTTCCTTCGTAGTATTAGTATATAGCACAGCTCTGAAACACCAAAACAATATTCGTACACTCCTAAACGGCCGCCATGTTGTATATAAAAATATATGGTTAAAAATTAATTTTTGCAAAATTGCAACATTCCATTGTATACCAGCAACCAATCATATTCATTTCTGAGATGGATTATCCCAGAGCCTTCGTTTCCTTCCCAAGGATCGCAGTCTCGGGGAACGAGATTGCGTCACACCTAGATCCCAGTCTCGTACTACATCCACGTTTTTTCTCGCGCTTGCTTCAGAACGACTGGGACTAGACTGCCCAAATGGCTATGACAAATTTGATTTCACCCATTAAGGATGATTGACGTTTTGTAATTAGCACCTTCACCCATTATCCAATCATAGTCGAGATTTATATTTAGCATCATGCATGCTTTTTGCTCGGCAACTGGGGAGATTTGCAGAGATTAAAACATGAGCAGCAGTGTTTTATCAGATATAAAGATGGTCTGATAAAACACGCACTGCGAATGTTTTAAATTGCTTCAAAAACCATCGATCTAGTTTATTAAGTTCATTGGCGAAATAGCTTTCAAAAAATTCGTTGTGTATGTAAAGAAAATCAAAGTTAAAGTTTATGTAAATCAAGGGAAATCTCTATCACATCCAGGTGATCTTGATACGCGGAAAAGTACTGGCACTAGTTGTCAAATAGAAATCCAATTTATCTTTTTAGAGCACACAATAAAAAGCAACTAACTGAAATTGATATTAAAATAAATGACCAGTCGATCGAACAAGTGAAATGTACAAAATTCTTGGGTGTTCTAATCGATGAAACACTCGCATGGAATAATCACATTGGTTCAGTTTTAAAAAAAAAATTTAAATCAACCGGAATTATTTCTAAAATTCGGCATTATACGAATCAAAATACATTAAAATTGCTTTACTATGGCCTTGTCTATCCTTATCTCACTTACGCTAATTTAGCTTGGGGTAACACGTACCAAAAGAAGATTGTGCGTCTAATCACTTTCAAATCGTATTCTGAGCACACGGAACCATTATTCAAAGAATTAAATCTATTAAAGATTTACAAAATAAATGATTATTTGACCAGTTTATTTATGTTTCAATTTTACAACATGAACAATATGACCGAAATTTTCAACAATTTTTTCAAAACTAATAATGAAATTCATCATCACAATACTAGTAGTTCCAAAAAGCTACATAAAACCTACAGCCGAACTAATTACATGAAACATACTCTCTCCAATAAAGGAGTAGAAATTTGGAATAATTTGAATGAATATTTAAAATCCATTAAATTTTAGCAATCGTCCAAAAAAACAAGCTAAAATTTATTATCAAATACAAGAATAATAATACAGCATTATATTATACATGGAGTCTAAAACAATGCTTCCATCATCATGCACTCCTAACTTCGTATTGTTGCATGTATATCTATATTATTGTGAAACTAAATCACAACTTTCTTTAAAATTTTATGCACTATATATTAACTGACATATAGCTATCGTTTGAATTTAATATTTGCTGTAATAGGGGCCTTGCACTAAAACTTCGTAAAGTTTCTTAAAGGCTCCTAGCTCTAGTATTCAACAGACGTTATACTGTTTATTCTATCTTAATTATGTAAATAGGGCGAATTTTTAAATAAAATAAAAAATAAATAAATCGCCCCAGTCTTTATTTTGTATTCGCGCAGTTTAAGACGAAAATGGCGGAAAATAGAAGGAAAAACTATTGAAACAATATGGCTGAAAACGCAGCTACAGCAGAACTGCAGCCTCCTTTACGAGGTGTGGTGTGGAATTATTTCCAGAAGACAGCTTCTGCAAAAACAGTGCAAAGTGATTGAATTGTGTTTAATCGTATAAAAGTATTTGTATCTAAGGGGCCATTCACAAAGTATGTCCGAGCCAAGGGGGTTTGGAAAATCAGGACAAACTCGGATGCGAGGGGGTTTTTTTTGCAATCCGGATGTTCGAAATTAAAAAAATTAAAAAACAAATTTCTTTTTTCCTCTATTTTGAGCAGTCCTTCCCATTGTGAAATTGGCATTTTGACTGTGCGGTTAACACTAGATTTTGTTTTAATTAGTAATTTATATGTTTTTGTATTTACATTTATAGTTATAAAAAAGTTCTAAAAGTAAAAAAAGTTTTTTACTCTTGACATATACAAGGTTGTGTGAGTTTTTGCGAGGCATGGTGGATGTCCGGGGGGAGGGGGTCACTAATTCGGACAATGCCGGACAAGGGGGGAGGGAGAGGTCTGAAAATCCATCATTTGGCCGGACATCCTTTGTGAATGGCCCCTAATTAACAACATATTAGAAGAATTACGCAATATGTAATCGTTTGAGTTATCGATACTTGGGCCGAAAAGTAATCGTAATCGAATCGATATTCTTGTTATCGCCAATCACAAAACTTCGTCGGTCGTCAAAAACCGATGTAATTTATAAACTTCGATAGCGTCCGGAAGTCCGTCGGAAAGCCGAAGCTGTACGGTGCAAGTCAATTCAACGGATGGAAAATAGCAGTAAAAACAAAATGGCGGTTGAAATGGAAAGCGTGTTTTCAATATTCAGAGGACCAGATGGCACTATTTTTGCGATTATTGTTTCAACTTTAATAGTTCTCTTAAAATCCATTAAAGTATTTAGATTGTTGTAATGTAATTGTTGTACTTAGAAAAATATCGATCCTTAATGTATGCTGTTAAAGTTTGTAAAACAAGGATATATATGTGTTTATAAAAATGAGAGAGTATATGTTTTTAATAAATATAAGTAATAGTATTTTATATACTAGAATAAAATTTAGATTTTTATAAAATGGACCACAACTGACCCTGACCTAGAGAGTTAATATAATAGTATGAAAAACAGTTTGTAACTAAAAGTGCTTGAACCATCAACATCCAAATCCAAGGCTTGAAATATAACTGATCAATGATCACAGTTTTGTCACTTTCAGGGCGATATCATAAATGTCCCTTGTTTGCTGTATTCACTTGCAACATGATACGATTGATACTGTCCCTCAAGCGACAAAACTGATATTGCTTTGCCTCTCCGCATATAATAACCAATATATATATATGTATAAAAGAAGACACTTTGCATATTTATTAAAAATATATTTGTCCAGTTGACAAATATATGATTGGGTGATTGGGAGAAATGGGTGATTGGGAGAAATAGAAACAAACGAAATATTGTGTTGCTTGTTGGATTGTCTGACGCTGGAAAGACACTACTTTTTACCAGGGTAGGTAAAATCTTTACGCTCTACCAGTGTATTCAAAATATTGCACCTGCAATTTTGAACTGTTGGGTTTGTAAAGGGTCCTATAGCCATATTTAGTCTAGCGTTAATGACACTGTTAACCCATTGTATTGCATTGTGCCACAATGTGCCCTATCCAATTTCCCTCACTTGATCTGATATTAGAATAATGAATGTTTGTCATATTGTAGCTTTACTATAACAAATTTCTTGCCACTCATACTTCCATTAAAGAAAACAAAGGAAGTTACGTACCTATACAGGTTTGTAAACAAAATTTGTCACATTAAAGTAAAGTTAAGTTGATATTTTGTGTGGTCTAACATTTTTCAAACATGTGCAGGCACAAGATGGAAAATTCTTGGAATTAATTGATGTTCCAGGAAATGAGAAGCTAAGAGGAAAGTTTATTGGTCAGTTTAAAGACCTTGCTAGGTATTAAATAGACTGCGAGCGGTCCCTCCTTTCCGCGGGTTTAGATTTCCTTTCTAATAATTTCGTTCGGCGTAATAATTTCGTTCGTCAGTCTTTGACTGATGCCGAACGAAATTACGCCCAAATCGAGGAAGAACTCCTGGCAATAGTATACGGAACAACACGCTTCCATCAATACACATACGGTCGCTCAGTCACGGTCGAAACAGATCACAAGCCCCTTGAAATGATATATCAGAAACCCCATTTTTTCATGTACGAGATGACTTACATACATACATACATACATCAACTTTATTTAAACACGGAAAATCATCAGTATAGTTATTTACAAAAATATTAAAAAATTTTAAAAGGAGCAAAAAGAAATATAGATACTGTTCTACCTGATTGCCGTGTGGGAGTCAGATCGATTATTTATTAAGAAGGCTTCTAAACCTGTCCTAAATGCAGCGAGAGAGGTTACTGATCTAAGAGATTCTGGCAGGCCATTCCATAAAGAGGCCCCACTGTAACTGAAGGAGCGTTTCAAATAATCTGTGCGTGGTTTTGGGACATAAAGTTTACCATAAGAATCTCTCAGGTTATAAACACTCTCACTGGGAGAAAACATCTCTTGTAAATAATGGTGTATGTTTATTAATAGTATTAAACATGAGGATTGCCTTTTGCTTTAATCGCTTAGTGGACAATGATTCCCAATTAAGTTCTTCAAGAAGAGAACTTGATGAAATATCATAGGATGAACGGGTAATAACACGGGCGGCCCTATTCTGTAATTTTTGTAATTTTTCGCTTTGCTTTTTACCTAGGCCATCCCAAACAGGGGCACAATAGGAAAAATAGGGCTCCACCAAACTTTGGTAAACTCGAATTGTAGTTTCTGTGGTAATAAAATCTCTCATTCGTTTGAGAGCGCCGATACCCGAAGAGACTTTCTTGGTGATATTATCAACATGATATTTCCAAGTCAAGTTCTCATCAATTGTTAAACCTAATGACTTAGACTTCAGCACTCTATTAATCTGTTTATTGTTAACACATACTTCCACATTCTGATTATCAAAGGTTGAAAGTCTTTGACGAGATCCAATAATCATAAATTCAGTCTTAGCAATATTTAAACTTAACTTATTTGCCTCTAGCCATGTGTTTAAATTGGCTATTTCAGCATTCATAAGATTTTCTAGCTCAGAAAGATTATTACTTTGCATGCTGATGTTCGTATCATCAGCATACATTCTAGGTAAACCCTCGTTCAGGCAGTTAGGCAAGTCATTGATATAGATCAAAAACAGAAGTGGGCCTATAATAGAGCCTTGCGGAACTCCATGGGAGATAGAACGACTACCAGAGAGTTTGCCATTTACGTAGCATTTCTGTTTTCGATTGTTTAAATAGGAATTAAACCACGATAGCGCATTGTCATCCACACCATAACACTTGAGTTTACGTATAAGAATTTCGTGATCAATTGTATCGAAAGCTTTCTTTAGGTCAATGAAGATCACTCCGTTAAGCAATCCCTTATCAATATTTACGCACCAGTTATTAGTCGACTCTAATAAAGCTGTAACGGTACTATATGATGCTCGAAACCCTGACTGATAGTTCGACAGTAAGTTGTTACTTGTCAGATAGGAGTAAAATTGGTCATAAACGGTTCTACCAAAAACTTTGGCAACCGCCGATATAATTGAAATTGGACGATAATTACTTAGATCACATTTTTCGCCATTTTTGAATATAGGTAAGACTTTTGCCATTTTCCAATCAGTCGGATAAATCCCCATAGAAAGCGATCTATTAAAAATTCTGGTTAACGAGGGTGAAAGAATATCAGCGGCTATTTTCAATAATCTACCTGGAATTTTATCAGGGCCGGTCGCTTTGTTAGCATTAATCGTTTTTAGCAAACAATTTACAGTGGACAAACCAATTTCCTCGAAAGAAAACACACTATGTGTGGATTGAATATAAGAAACGGGATTAACATTCGAGCTAGGTATTTTGTTCGCAAGTTTCTCTCCTATCGAGGTCAAATATGAATTAAAGGCATCCGAAATTTCAGCCGCATTAGTGATTTCATTACCGTCAAGATTGACTTTCTTGACACTGGTTACATCACTCACTTTACGAGAGTTCAGATCGTTGACTAGTCTCCAAGTTTTCCTTGGATCTTTTCGTGCAGCCTCAATATTAGTGATAAAGTAGTTATGTTTAGCCTGCCTAATAGTGTTGTTAGTTTCATTTCGAGCTTTCTTATATTGTAACCAAATTTCATCGTCACGTGTAATATCGAATTGCCTTTTTAGATAATCTCTTTCGCGAATTTTCTGAACTACATGTGAAGTAATCCAGGGAGACTTTCGTTTCCCTATACGTTTCTTTTTAAGTGGGGGCATGTTTATCAATCACAGACATAAACAAATTCAACCATTCAGTCCACATATCATTAGGGTCGTTATGCAGACAAACCTGCTCCCAATTTAGATTATTTAAATCATTCAAATATGCATGTTTATTGAAGTTTCTGAAATTTCTCTTTTCAACAAAAGTATTTACCGGTGCCTTATGATATGTACATTTCCGAATAAGGTATACCAGTGAATGATCACTTATACCAAGAGAAAGAACACCGGAAGC